CAAATCGTGCACATATATTTACAAAAAATGATTATTTATAAAATAAGTGTTTAAACTATATTGTTTTCATGAATAAGTGTATAAATTATTTTTTGAATGATTTCGGTGTCAAATATTACAAATATTACCACTTTGGATGCTCGGTTCATAAATGACGTTAATTTTCTTGTTAAGTGACATGTATCACATTCTCGTAATTTTAAAAGTTTTATTTAAAATTAAAATTATGTTTTAAAAACCACAAAATTTTTTAAAATAGTCCCAAAGCTTTAAAAACCTTCATTTCAACCTCTAAATCCATGATGTTTGACGCCTTTTGCCGTCGACGAAGCTCCACCCGACCTCACCTCTCCCCCATGATCAAAACCCTTATGAAATCGCAATCGATCGATGTTTTATATCCCGTGAATCCTAGGATGAAAATAGTGATTCCAACGGTCAATCGACGACAAATATGATAACATATGACTAGGAGGATGGCAGGAACTACGTCATTGACTGTGGTCATGATCGAAAAGGGAGACAATGAAAATTTAGGGTTAAGATTTGGGGATTTTAAGGATTTTTGTAATTTAAGAGAAATTAAATTTTTATAAATATAATATTTTTTTTATTTTAAAAAAATAAATTTCAAAATTACGAGAATATGACATATGTCACTTAACAGAAGAAATTAACACCATTTAACGCCCTAACACCTAAAATTATAACCTTTGTAAAGTTAATCACTAAGATCATTCAAAAAAATAGTTTAGGCACATATGCGTGAAGTAATATAATTTAAGCACTTATTTTATAATTAAGCCTATAAACAATTATAGTATAAAAAGTTTAAAGGTATGATACTAAAATTAGTTTTAATAGTCATTTTGTCTCACTATGTTTAAATTTTTTTTAGCCTTAACTTTTTATTTAGGATAAAAAATTTACTAACATTTGATTAAATACTCACTTTGATCTAAAGGTGGATCCAAAAATATTTTTGAGGGTGGACACACTGTATCAATAACATAATTTTTTGTATGAGATGGACACAAATAAAATTTCAGGATGTGTATAATCAATAAAATAAGTAACTAATCGAAGAAAAATCGGATATCAAGGTGGGCATGTGCCCACCCTGGACAAAGGGTGGATCCGCCACTACTTTGACCTTAATTTTTTTAGAGCATTTTGACCTTCAATATTTTATTTTATGATAGAATAACCTACTTTTTAGTATTATTTGTTTGTTAACTAACAATTTTCATCACCAAAAAGATATTTTTGCCATAAAATAAAACGTTGGGGTCAAAATGTACTAAAGAAATAATAAGAATTAAAATGATCATTTTAATAAATATTAAATTTAATCTTAATATTATAATTATTTTAAATTATCATATATTTTAAATATTTTCTTTATAATTTATTTTCATTCCTTAAAATTTTAAAAGTTTATATCTAAAATGTTAAACTAATTATGAATCTATATTGGGTGCTCATCTCCTACGTACACTATTTTGTTGGTTTACTTACAAGTTGGAAGTATTTTGATGGGCTAATCTGGGCCTTCTACTGGGTTTGACACTTCATCGGATGGCTCAATCTTAATGTCATATGCCAACCCATATTTTAATACATTTACTAAATTATTTTCCAAGAGGATTGTCTTATTGTTACTTAACTGCTAGAATTATTATATCAAACTATATCATTTTTTTTAAATTTTAATGATCAATAATTTAAATAAAATAAATATTAATATTAATGGTGTAAATTAATTTAATAATTAAAGTAAAAATACAATAATAATTGAGTAATCAAATAATGTAACCAATTTTAAAGTAAGGATGCAATTTTTCAACCAACAAAAAAAGGGTATCAGCTTTATGCTCATAGTCATGACTCAGCTGCAAATTACGAATGAAGAAGAAAGAGACACTTTTCCTTTGGTTATTAAAAAAAATAAAAAATAAAATAACATATCCAAAAGTTCAGAACCACTATACTTCCATCAGGCATCAGCATCAGTGGCATCCCTCGTAAACTCTCTGCTTATGTCTAAAAACCAACCCTTCTGTTGCACACTTCAGAAGAGGAGAAGAGAAGATAGAAGAAAGTGGGAAACCCACAAAACTGAAAAAACAAAAAGCTCATCAAGTTTCAGCTCAAAATAGCAAGTGACTCCCAATTCTCTCTCAATTTATTCTTTCTTTCTGTCTGCTTTTTTTTTTTTTTGAGTAATTTCCCCCTCTTGTTGTGTCTGCAAGTGAAACACAAATGGAGCAAACTTTGGCCATCTTCAAGCTTGAAGCTTGTGGTATTATCTAGGAGAAGAAAGTTCCTTTTTTCTTCTTCTCTTGTTTGACTTTGTTTAGTACTATTTGTTAGAAGATAACAAAAGGGTTGATGGGGAGAGGTTGCAGGAGGATGATAGCAGGGGATTTGGATCCAGAAAGAAAAAAAGTGGTGGGTTGAGAACAAAGCAGTCCGGTAGAGTGTTATGGACTGGATTTAGTAGAGAAGAAATATCGAAGAAGAAATAGGTTTTAGATAGGGATGGTAACTCAATCCGAATGCGACGGGTTCCGACCCGACCCGATCGGGTCGGATTTTTTTAAAAAAAAAAATTTGGGTTCGGGTCGGGTCGGGTTTTTTTTAAATGTACTGTTCGGGTCGGGTTTAGGGTGAAAAAAATCCGACCCGATCCGACCCGAAAAATATATATAATTTTATCCTATATATTTAGAGATAATTACAATAATGTCCTTCCATATATAATTTTTTTCAATTAAGTCACTGTTTTCATTGAATAAAATTTTTTTATTATTATTTCGGGTCGGGTCGGGTCAGGTTTCTAAGTCATATATTCGGGTCGGGTCGGGTCGGGTGAAACCTTAATTTCGTCGGGTCAGGTCGAGTCACGGGTGAAAAACTCTTTCTTCTCGGGTCGGGTCGGATGGCCTAAAAACCCGACCCGACCCGACCCATTGACATCCCTAGTTTTAGAAGAAGAAATAAGAGAGATTACAGGAAGAAGTTTTCATTCATTCATTTCATGCCTTTTGCCCTACCTAGAACATTGCTTATACATTTACATTGTGTAGCAACCATTTACAGCTGGCAATACAACTGTCTCTAACAATTAGATTCATTGCTGGTGTTGTTGGGTGCTATTGGGTGCTGTTGGCGTGACTTCCTTCACTGCTGGCAGCACCCATCCCCTTAATTAAAATCCCTAACCTCCCTTTAATTAAAATCTCTAATCCTATTTCCAATTTCCCCAATTTTCCTCTGTCTTCTCCGATTTCTATCTCTCTCATTATCATGACAATACCCCTCCATGAAAGGATCCTTGTCCCCAAAGATCAAAACCTAACAATTGTGCCTTAAGCACAATGTAGTTTACCCCAATAACGTTTTCAAACCTTAAGTTCATCCACTGCATCAACAATTGAGTGATAGCCTGATTGTGCTTCTTGAGGTTAAATACACCATCATCCAAAAAACTCAAGTTGCCAAACACCTTCCACCAAAAACTATAGATAGCAGTACCATAAACCCTTGCTGCTAGCCTTAATCCTTTTCTAAGAGAAAGTGAGGTTTGATGGTAAGATTAAAACTTCAGGTCAATTCTATCCTCTGTCTTAATACCTCTGTATGTCAATTTTACTTTAGCAAAAAATTTCAACCTTGCTTGAGTCTTCTGAAAAATTTTCAGATTCAAAAGTTGTTTTAGTAACTGATTCCTGCTGCTTTCTTTGTTGATTTCCCATGTATTCATGACATTATCCTTCCCTCGAAATGATCCTTGTACACTTGCTACATGAACAAGCATCATTTTCCCGTTTGCATCACCGATGCAATACAAGTGAGGAACCAGATTGCCACTTGAATCATTTACTCGCATTCTCTCATCAACAAGAATGAAACCCCTTTGTGTTACTACATTAAGATTCTTCAACCCGAGACCATTAGTAAATGGAGCCCTTCCGGTTGCAATTAAGGCTGCATCTATCTCCAATGTGTCTTTGGGTTCCATAGTCTTGGCATCAATAAGCTCAATAGTCACTGGTTTCTCATCCTTTGCAGGGGTGATCTTCGTTGCAAACACTCCTGTATGATAATCAATTTTCCTAGGGTTGATTAGCACCCTTTGGGCAAGCTTACCAATCTCAGGATCAAATCCAGGCATAAGCTGATCTAGAGCTTCAATAAATGTGACCTCACTGCCAATATAACCACTTCCTACAATCGCAATCCAATCAGGAACAGACTCCAATTTCAGGGCATGGTCACTAGTAATAATAGCCTTCCCATCGACCTCAATGCCCTTGGGAACAAAAGGAACAGAGCCAGTGGCAATGATAATATCTTTTGTAGCTATTATGTTATTACGAAAACCAACCTTCCCATATTTCACCTTTTGAGGACCCACAATAGTACCAACACCAATCAATATGTCTACTCCTAGTGCCTTCATTGAGTTAGTCAAATTGCATCGAATTTTCGAAGCAAGGTTATTTGCATGTTATTCAACTCCCTGTCTGTCATATTCAGTAGCAGAAACCTGCAAACCCAAAGCCTTCATATGATGCTCACTCTGAAGTTCACGCATCTTACCATTCACAACCAGAAGAGCTTTCGAAGGAACACAACCTCAGTTCGAACTCGGCTAGAACACGAGTGAGTCAAACCGGATAATCTGAAGGCTTTCTTTCTGAGTCCGCATAAACGGAGATTGATCGGCTAGGAGATAGGTAAAGCAGGAGAATGAGAATCGAAGGCGAAATTTGATCTAGGAACTGCGGTAGCTTGAGAGCAAATGGAATGCATTTTCAATATTTTCGGATGTTTGGCAGTGAGGAGACGTTGGTAGTAGTATGCATCTGGTGCCTTTTTCTCAACTTCAATAACTTTGATTGCCTTCTGATTTTTCTCAGCAAGAACATGTCCTGTTGGTTTGCCTGGATTTATTACAACCAAGGCCTTAACGGTGCTACCCTTGGACCTAGAAGTTACAAGTTGTTTCTTAAGCTCAGAGACTTCCAAACCCATCCTGTGGCTTCATCAAGATAGTATAGAATCTCCACAACAACAAAACCACTGCCCTTTCCAATTATCTTCTCGACCTCTACTCGCACATCTTTAAGATTGATTCCCATTAGCAATAATCTAAACTTGTAAGGGTCATCCTCTTCTACAAGTTTATCCCTCCCAATTTTGACAGGATTGAACTTACACCTATCTGCACCTTCACTCACTTGGCTAGCATTTCCAGCAGGCTTCAATTTGGCTAAACTTGGTATGTTTGTATCGGGGCGGATACCATCGTCCTCTGAAATTATGATTGCCTTCTCTTCTCCAATTTTAAGATTCACAATCTTTATGGCTACAAGAATAATTTCTTCTTTGAATTTACCATATGCTGTTCTAGTAGCTGCCCATCGATGTGATTCAACAATGGCCTGGTCTTGCTTTTGCCTTGTGATACCATAGCGTTGTGCAACGTTTTCAGAAGTAATGCCCATAGGAAGAATACAATCCCGGGCTTGGGCAAAGCTATCCGTCTTTGGGTTAACTTCCTCAAACCTAGAAACTAAACCATCCGTTTTCATGCTCTCCAATCCAGCACCAATGCCGATATCATAAAATCCTGCTTTTATGGAAGCAGCAATATCGGCAACTGCTTGTAGGCCCGAAGAACATTGTCTGTTGACAGTTCTAATAGGCACTGTATCGGGGAACCCAACATAGAATGTTGTCATCCTACACTGTGTTGCTCTGAGTGTAGCACAAGCCAACACTGAACAGACAACAATATCCCCCACTTCACTTGGGTTCACCTTTGTTCTATCAATCAAAGCCTTCAAAACAGGGGCAAGCAAATCATTTGCATGTGTATCCTTAAAGCCTCCACGCTTTGACTTGCAAATTGGAGTGCGGCATGCCACCACAATCACAATATCATCCCCAAAAGCAGTGTTATTCCCAGCCAAACAAATTGATGGCTTTGATGTTGGCAATTTATCGAACACCTGAGAATCATCATGTTTTTGCTCACACTTTTTACCAGTCAGAATCTGTAATATATGCTCCACATCTCAATGCTGCGACGCCATTTTTTATTCCAACGTACTCAACCGACTATCCTGCTTCTGCCACCATTTAGGAGGGGTCGATTTAACCTTGATTTTTTTTTTTGCTTCAAGCTGCTAAGAAATGATGGCTCTGATTACCAATTGTTATGGACTGGATTTAGTAGAGAAGAAATATCGAAGAAGAAATAGGTTTTAGAAGAAGAAATAAGAGAGATTACAGGAAGAAGTTTTCATTCATTCATTTCATGCCTTTTGCCCTACCTAGAACATTGCTTATACATTTACATTGTACCAATTGTTATGGATTGGATTTAGTAGAGAAGAAATATCGAAGAAAAAATAGGTTTTAGAAGAAGAAATAAGAGAGATTACAAGAAGAAGTTTTCATTCATTCATTTCATGCCTTTTGCCCTACCTAGAACATTGCTTATACATTTACATTGTACCAACCATTTACATCTGCAATACAACTGTCTCTAACAGTTAGATTCCTTGCTGGTGCTGTTGGGTGCTGTTGGGTGCTGTTGGCGTGACTTCCTTTACTGCTGGCAGCACCCCTCCCCTTAATTAAAATCCCTAACCTCCCTTTAATTGAAATCACTAACCCTATTTCCAATTTCCCTAATTCTCTTCCGTCTTCTCCGATTTCTATCTCTCTCATGATCATGACAATAAAGACTCTTGTAGAGGAAGTTAGCTTTAGTTGCTCTCTTTTTTCATGTTTCTTAAATGTGGGATGTTATAAATATTGCACCTTGAGTACTTTTTTTGTTGGTTGCTTTGCCTCAATATTATATATATGATCTTTGAGAAACATTGAAGAGGGAAAAAGGAGAAGAGTGATGGGTGGTTTGTTGAAAGAAACTTTGAAGTCACTTTGTGGGGTGAACCAGTGGTCTTATGCTATCTACTGGAAGATCGGCTGCCAAAATACTAAGTAAGTTTCTACGTTTGCCTTTTCTTTTGGAGTTGTTTGGTTGTGGAGAAAATTGAAGGGAAAATAAGAGAGCATTTAGTGTTTTTCTATAGTTCTTATGCATGTATCTTCATTTGGTTTAGCTAATAATGTAGAAACAAAATACTCCACACACTCAAAAAAAGTGAACTTTTTAATGGTTTTCTTGGCTACCAAACATAGGAGGAGATCCACCATAGCTGAAAGCATTTTCTTGCATAACGCTATTTTTTTCCCATTACTCCTGAGGTGCAAAACTTGTTTTAAGGCATGTTGAAGTTTGATTGGTTACTGTTATGTTGTAATTTTTTTCTTTTATTTTGATTAATGATCTGGTGCTGCTTTTTTCTTTTCTACTTTTGGCACTTTGTGTTTTGGATTATTCTGTTTTGTCTTAAAGAATCATGTTGAAAAGTAGATGTGTATTTTAAGTTTGACAAGAAACCTTCTTGTATTGGACCAACTCACTGCTGAAATCCATTGATTCAGAATTTTGTTTTCCTTTTATTGCTCCAGTAGAATCTGGCTATTAGTTTCTTTTGTCTTGGTCTGTTTGGCTGCTGGAGAAAATGTAGAGAAAGGAAACAATATTAGAAACCTGGACAATTCGGTGTTCTGTTATGTTTTCTAAACTTATTGGCCCCAGTAGGATGAGATATCTAGGAGTTAAATGGCATTATATGCATTTATTTTCATTTGTCATCTCCTTTGATTGATGGCTAAACTTTTGGCATGATTTGCCTGAGTTTCTATTTTAAGAGTTAAATTATTCCGTCTTCCTGGCCTTAACTGCATGTTTTATGCTTTGCAGGTTGCTAATTTGGGAGGAATGTTACTATGAACCTGCACCGTCCTGGGCCCCTCCATGCATTGCCGGACTTCAGAATCCCAAATCATCATTCGGAGAGCAGGAGGGATGCTGGAATTCGGATACTTCCTCTCAATTTGGGAGTCGAACATGGGACGATAAAACCCATTTGCTGATAAAAAAAATGATGACGAAAAATCGCTTTAATATAGTTGGGCAAGGGTAAGCCTGAGCTTTTCAATGCTGTCCAGTTTTCTGCTTGCAGATTATTTAGTCACTTTCTTTTAAAGTTCTTTTCCTTATTTACTCAAAAAAAAAAAAGGAATTGTGAGGGAATGCTTTCTTTGTGTTTCAGATTAGTTGGCCGAGCGGCATTTACTGGTAATCATCAGTGGATTCTTGCAGATAATTACATTACAGATGCCCAGCCCCCAGAGGTATATTACTAATTGTATCTTCTGAGTTCTCCAAGCGTCAGATGTTGGACACAACAAACTTGTTCTTTCTTCGTGCATCAACTCTTAACATGTGATAACAAGTGTCGAGGTAGTGTCAGGTAACAAAACATAGTATGACATTTTTTTTTTGTGTGGATGCATCTAGGTTCTAAATGAGGTGCACCTCCAATTTTCAGCTGGCATGCAGGTTTGATAACTCTAGCTCTTTATTTTTTCCCATCTGCTTCATTATTTGACTTTTATCCATTGCAGACTGTTGCAATTATTACTGTTCATCCTCACGGGGTTCTACAGTTCGGTTCTTCCACGACTGTAAGCAGCTTAACTGTGCATCCCTGGAGCTCTTCTCTCTAATAGCTACGGAGCAAATGAATGCATTGAGAAAACCAGGATTCCCATTTCCTTTGAAAATCCCATTGCAATGGATTCAGCTGGAATTTTTAGGCCTACAAATTCCACGACTTCTGTTTCTGATGGCTGCAACCAACAAAGCAATTCATCTGTCTTCCATGGTTATTGGCCAATCATCTTCCCTCATCAAACATATTCAAGAAATCCCCCAGGCTACACCTCATGATGACTATTTGTGGCTGAACCCTCAAGTATCTTTTTGCAACTCTAGGTCTAGGTTCAACTGTCAGCCCATGATTGATCAACCAATTACAAGTCATAGCGGCATAAAATCAATGGAGCAACATGTTTCATCAGGTGTCCTACAAAATAATGTTATCGATAGCGTTACTGTATCAAATAGTCAAATGAAACCAGAATCAATCCAAGGCTTTGTTCCAAAATTGCAAAACCTAGAAGTTGTTACTTCCTCTTGCACACGATTGGCAGGGAACATGTTTCAGCAAGTTGGTTCGTCTAAGGTGGCGGTTCCTTTATCCATCCTACTGATCAGATAACGACTAGTATGCTTTCAGGACTTCCAACTAGAGGACATGACTGTGAGAAATTCGATTGCATTCCAAAGAAGGAAAGTACAGATAATGATTTGTTTAAAGCACTTAGTACCCTGTTTCCCCATGCTGACAATGGAATGCCATTTCCTGAGCAACTTCCAAGTGCTTTTCATGATATTCGGAAGCATGAAAGTGGAAGTTCGAGTACTAGATCCTTGAATGTTAACTATGGAGGTGCATGTGTCCAGTCTCCATCAGGGGATGATTTGTTTGATGTACTGGGGGCAGATTTAAAGAGTAAATTACTCGGTGGGAAATGGAATAATGTTCTTGCCAAGGGACAAGATTTGAACATGCAAAATGTGGGTAAGGATACTTTGATATTTAGGGATATGCAAAATGTGGGTAAGGTTTCTAGTGTCCATTCTGCTGCAAAGCAGATATCAGATGATAATATGTCCTGCAGGACAACATTGACAAAGTTCAGCAATGCATCTGTTCCTAGTAGTTCCACTACCTTTGGTCGGGTTAACATTTCCAATCAAGTTCGTGGGGAGTTACTAGGTGGTCTTCCGAAGTCTCTGTTGAAGGGAGAAACTCTTCCATCCATTTCTTATCAATCTGGCCGTAGCAAAGACAATGATGGAACTTGTTCTCAGATAAGTCAGATTACTTCAATGTATGGGTCTCAAATCAGTTCATTGGTTGAGCAGGGTCATAATTAAAGGCGTGATACGAGTGTTGCTACTGCAAACTCAAAAAGGAACAATGAAACGGCTAAACCAGATTGCAAAAGACTAAAACCTGGAGAGAACCCTCGACCCAGGCCAAAAGATCGCCAGATGATTCAAGATCGAGTGGAGGAGTTGAGGGAAATTGTACCAAATGGAGCAAAAGTAATGCATCTTTTTAACTTGATATACCTAAATTTCTGTGATATGCTTATACTGTAATGAATGTTGTAGTTAATGTCCATCCTTTGATGTGATTCAACAGTGTAGCATAGATGCTCTTCTCGAAAAAACCATCAAGCATATGCTTTTCCTACAAAGTGTTACAAAGCATGCAGACAAGTTAAAACAAACAGGAGAGTCTAAGGTATGGCAATTACATTATGCTTGTAATCTAGTTCTTCTATTTATCCTATGTTCTAAAATGTTTGTTTATCAGATCTTGTTTCAGCTGGTTGTGGTGACATTGCTATCTCGGATGTCTGAGAAGAAATGCTCTTACATGCATACTATATTCTCTGATGTGTACAATAAAATCCAATTGGCAGTATTATATCCATGGAAGCTTTTAGACTTTAAGATGTTTGAGTTTGCAGATAAAGGAGAACTTCGAGGGAGGTGCTATGGGCATTTGAGGTCGGCTCACAAGCTATGTTGTGCCCTATTGTGGTTGAAGATCTCAATCGACCTTGTCAGATGCTTGTAGAGGTGGGACTCTTTCATGTGAAGCTGCCTTAAAGATCAATTTATCTTTCTTGTTCCCGGTTTCTATAAATGTTTGTTCCAGTCAATCATGCCTTTAATTAATTGATTCATGTTATGCGGTCCAATTACATTTCTACTCTGCAATCATTAGGCTGAGTACGAATGAGAATATTGTAGCAATATTTTCCAGGAGACTATAGACTTGTAGAGACAATGTAGTTACTTTGGCATTATATTTGTTTCTTTGCATGACAACAATACAGTAAACTATTTCTTTGCATTGTTGTCGTTTAACTCAAGTTTTCCCGTACAGGCAAACAGGGATGTTACGAGGGTGGAGATATTTGTCACTTGTTCGTCTTCTGGAGCAAACTGCAAAGGGCAGCATCACTTCATCTTCCAATGCATTCGATAGCAACAACATGGTGGTTCAGCACTCGTTTCCCGAAGCTGCATCTATACCGGCAACCGGTAGGGCCAGTAGTTTACAGTGAACCGCCTTGCTCCCCCGTATCCTTGTTTGTAGACATGTTAAGAGCAGGCCCCAGCTGTGCTTGCCATGACTAACATACATCCTCTAGATTCGGGTGGTTCGGACCTCGACTAACCTCGTTTTCGCTGATCTTGTCCTTGAAGGTGGGATTTGTTTAGGTAATGAAAACTGTCAACAGCTTTTTAAATGGTATGTATTTGGATTTTGCTGGACCAATTGATGAATTTTGTTGTGTCGTGTAATCGTATCTTGCTCATAATATGCACGGGTTTGACAGAAAGCCATGGGACTGCATTTTGATTTTCTGATAATCAATACCTCTCTGCGGAGTGATGGTCTATTAAAATTTAATAAAAATAAACCTAAAACTAATATATATATATATATATATTAATTAGGGCTGATGCATGCAGGCTAAAAATCTAAAACCTAAACTCGAGCAAGCTTACCCACCCATGAACATATTTGTTGCAAAAAATATATGAAATTGAGGTAGATTTACATGTATATATAATATATATGAAAAATATTTTTGAAAACATTGATAAATATTGGACAGTAAACTGAAACAAATTAATAAACTACTTTAAAAAGTACTATGATAAGCTATATATATATATATATATATATATATATATATATTTGTTTGGATAATTCAGATGTATATTAATCCAAAGAAGAAACAGCAAAGCTGTTACAAAACGACATAATCTAGGCAACCCCTCAAAGGATCCCCTACAACAAACCAAAAGAGACCCCTCATTAAACCCCCCACCTACTGCAGAAATCAACATTCATCCTGTCAAACCTGTCAATACAACAAGGCTGCATACGAATTCTAACAGTCTCCTTAACATATTCAACAACTTCATCTGCAGACCGAGAAACCCCCTATAAAGCCTAAAATTTCGTTCTTCCCACACACAATATAGGAAGCCAATCCAAGCAAGCTTTAGAACACATAGGATGAGGGACTTACCCTTCAAATTTCCAACAACCCATAGTATTATCCCAACCAATCAGACCCCATTGCAGATCGCAGAGCTGCAAAATTTTAACCCAAACTCCACAGGAAAATTGACACTCCGCAAAAAAGATGATCCATCGTCTCCAAGAAACCCCCACACAGGCCACCCAGGCCTTTAGCATCTACTCCCATTTTCCTAAGCCTTTCCATAGTGGGCACCTTATCCAAAATAATCATCCAAGCCATAATCGAATGCTTGAGAATGTGAAGAGGGAACCAAATGGATCTATGCCGTTGAACCTTAGGCCGCACGATCCTTATCTTATCCCATATCCACTTATTCGTAGCCACAGACCAGTCCCCAACACCCCAAACAAGCCTCTAGCCTCAGCTCTCATCTTCAGTAATCTCCTAAAAGTCCAGCTGAAATGAGCCTTGCATTCAATCTGCCAAAAATCCACCCCTTTGAAGATATACTCCTTAATCCAAGCCACACAAAGGGAGCCTCCCCAACAAGAACGCTCTTAATTAATTGAAAACAGTCGGTACGATTCCAGCAAAACAAATCCCTAAGCCCCAAGCCTCCTTCAGCTTTTAACGAACACACCTGCTGCCAACCAATACGGGCACCACCTTGAGCAGACTCCTCCATCCCTTTCTAGAAGAATCTCATACACATTTGCTCAATCTTCCTAATCACCACTTTAGGGAGAACAACCCGCCTGTACCAAAAATTGAAAATGATGAATAAAACAACTTTAATCAATTGTAATATACCTCCATAACTAAAAATCTTTTTAGACTAGATACCAGGCTTCTCCTTAATTTTCGCAATCAAGGGTAGCAATCCTTCTCAGCAAACTTTCTAATAACCAAAGGAATACCCAAATATCTAACAGGTAGGCAGCCCTGCTTAAATCCTATCAAGCATTGAATTTCAACAAGAATATTGCTTCCCAAACCACAAGGGAAGAACTAAGTTTTACTCACATTTAACTCCAAACCAGACATCTTACAAAAAAACCTCCAGGAAACTCATAACACCAATAACAAGTTGATGAGTGTTTTAAAATGATATTATTTGCTTGTTAAATTTTTGATCTTATGGATTTATTACTGTTGATTTGGTTGTGTTATGTTTATTTTCGTATAGGATCTTACTTTCTAGAATTAACAGTAAAACGGAGGCATTCTGCATTTTTTTATTATTTGGTCACGACTCTAGACATGGACACGACTCTGGGCATGACACGATCTGACGTAGCAATTTCTAGAAGGTCCAATCAGCAACAGTTTTCTAGAAGATCCAGTCAGCAACAGTTTTCTAGAAGATCTAGTCAGCGCTTTCTAGAAGGTGGACGAGCAGAGATATCTTAGGAGACTTATTTTTAAATTTTAAAGTTTGAATTTAGAAAACATTTGAAATTATTTTTAGGATTATTTTTATTTTAATTTCTATGTTTATCTTTAGGATTTTAGAAGCTATAAATATCTCTTGAGGTAAGCCTAAAGACACAACTCATAATTTACTCTTATTTTTTCTAGTTTTATAAAATTATTTCTTTTCTTTTTAAGTTTTCGTTTTTAGTTTATTTTAAGTTTTCTTTTTAAACATGCTAAGTATGACCTTTGTCATGCTTAGCTAATTTTCTCATAAGCCGAAAGTTGAAACGATGATTCAATTTCAACGTGAAAATTGAAAAGTACCTTAATAACTTCAGAATATCTCTTTCAATCTCTACGTTTATTTTTAAAATCAAAACAGTTTTCAAAATCAAAGTTGACTTTAGTCAATATGTTGTTGAGATTAAATGAGTGGGAGGAATGATCGGCTTATTGAAAGCACATTCGACTTCCTGGAACACACTTGACGATATTGCCTTGCCAAGAGAAAATTGAGATCGGAATTAGTAGTTATTGAAACAACAATCCGGGTCGGTCTTCACGAACTTAAACGATTATTGATCTACGACAATAGATGTTGATTAGATCAATTTCTGAAGCCGGAATCAAAGATTGTCTTGGGTATTCGGTATACAAAAATAAAGTCACGAGGATTGTCCTTGTAGACAAAGTAACCGACGTTAATCCCTAAGGGAAAATCTAATTTGATGATCCGAAGGAAATTGAGTCAAGACGAGACTTGAGGTTATTTTTACCATATTCATTTTCAACCTTCATTTTTTTTATTTTTCTTTAAATCACTTTTTATTATTTAATTTTTTTACTAAAACCCATTTACTACTTATCGTCTGGTTTAAACCATTCAAACAGAAATTTGAATTTTCTAAGTCTCTGATGATCGACCCTTACTTCTCTTTACAACGTATTTCTTCTTTTATTAATTGAGAATAAGGAATTTATTTTGACATCAAAACGATAGTTGTCAAATTGGCGTCGTTGTCGGGGACTTCGTCAAAGTTACTAATTTTTGTTTGCTTTTTGATTTTTGACAAGGACAAACAAAGGCGAATTAGTGGAGTACGACCTGAAAATCGAAGCCAGAGCACGGAGACTTCACGCACAGACGCTTTGGGAAAGAAGGAGACGACAATCAGATCCATAATCGAATTCAAAATGTAACACCCCAACCCGTATGCGACCCGAATACGAGTCTGATATGTTACATTGACTTTTTAAAACCATATTCTTGTAAGATAGCAAAACTTTTGAACTTATATTAAGAAAATATAATAATATTCTATTAAATTATGCTTCATTATAAAATTTTAAAAAAATATGTATTTATGAACAATATTATACAATATGAACAGTACTATGAACAGTACCGAATGTTAAATTTTTTCCAGATTACTTTAGGGGTACCGATACCCTGCTACAGTAACTTTCGTAAAATACGTATAAATTCATAAAAATCTAAGTTTTCATCCGTATAAAATTACCATTTACATATACATATTTAAAGCATTACAAAACTCAATCATATGATTTTACAAAACCGATTAAAACATATCGGATTCAAATCTTTGTTTACATGTCAACCACTATAAGTATTACAAAATACATACTATTAACTTCTTTTCTGATCTGATCTTTGGAAATGAGAAACTGGCCTGTCTTGTATGACTTTTATTAATATTCCTCTTCTCAGAAACTACGTGTGAAACAATCACACGCTAAGTCGTTGACTTAGTGAGGCATATAAACATATAATATAAAACATAAAACATCTCACATAACAGAATGCATATATGTACATATGTCATCATTATCATGATCTCTATCATATTTATACACTATTATCATTCATATTTCTTATCTCTTGTTCATATAATCTCTTATGCTCTTATCATATATATTATGTCTCATTCTTATAATAGATACAATAACTCATAGCACACATATATCATTTCATACAATTCATATCACATATCACACATCATATATATATATATATATATATTACATACATGATATTCAAGATTATCTCTTTCTTAGCCCATGTACATTATTGAGAACTTAAGGTATTCGAGTACATTGAGGTTGTAGACTAATGTTGTCACCAAAGCTCGTATAAGTCCCACTGAGTGGCATATGAAATTTGTCTCGAATGACCACTGTATTGTCCCGAAGGACTACTATAACCCTCGACTCTTGGCATGCCAACTATACCTATAGCTCTCGTATCATATAACATGGGCATTATCATTTATAACATTTTTGTGTTCATATCATTTCTCTTATAATCACATATTCATTCTCTTCTGTCACATACCACACGTATGTGTAAACATATATCTCATATGCATATAACTCATAACTCTTTTATTTCATATCATGTAATACTCTTATAAAGTATCATATCCTCTTATCATGTATTTCATATCATATGTTCTTGCTTTCATATAGTCACATCAATTAGTCACTTATGTTCACATATCACATGGTCACATTTTATATAACACTTATATTACATATTCCTATAATTACTTATATCAATATCACATATATCACAAGTGCATTTTCATGTAAGCATGTAAATCATGTAACATATAAGAACATACATCCATTTCTATATACTAATACACAAATAATAATCACATAACATTTTAAAAGTTACTTCTTACCATAGTAACTCCGTCATTGGCTCATCGCAAGCCAATGTTTTTTCAATAACCTAAATACAAAATAAATTGCACTCACCTTAACCTTGCTTTGATTCGATCCTAATTATTTGACTCTTCCGGAACTTGTTCACGTTCAATATCTACATAACCATACATTTTGAGGTAATTATCAGATATCTACACCTTTTAATTTGATACTAATAGCCTAAACGAATTTAATAGACACATATTCACTTTTTTTCTTTTGGGGGGTATCGGTACCTCCCCTTAGGGTATCAGTACCCTTATAGAAATCTGTAAATTTTGCCCAGAAATCACTGTTCATGCACGAAAATTCACTATTTCAACTTCAATTCTTCATGTTTCATTCCCTTTCATATTCTTAACTCAAATATACATACTTAAACTAATTTCTACTCATTTATCACATCTTAAACCTCAAAATCTTCTCCTCTTCATGAACTTCAAGAATCATACCCAATTTTTAATATACTCCAAATACATTTCTATCACTTCATATCTCTTAATTAAGTTGATGAAAAGTCAAAAAATCTCATCAAAACTCTAAAAACCACACCATATCAAAAATACATCTTAAAACCCATTTTACAAATGCCTTCCTAATTCACTCATCTTATTGTTTAAATCCTATATAAGCTTTCCTTAAGCTTATATAACACCCAAAGAATCAAAATCCACTTAGAAATCCAAGAATTAAACAAAAAAATTAAACTCACCTTTGGAGCTCCCTTTGTTCACGGTGGAGAAGAAGAAAGGAAGAAGAAGAAGAAGATAATTCTTCCCCCCCCACGTGATTCATTCATATAAGGGGGAAATATCTCTATTGTCAAATGACCATTTTGCCCTTTAATTCCTTGGATAATTACTAATAACTTTTCAGAAATATTCTCAAATAAATCATTAAACTATTTAACTATTCTACTTTTAATCACCAAATTCTGAAATTTCACAATTTAGTCACTAACCCGGTATTAAGGATGTTACACAAAATCAAGCAGGTGAATCCGTTAATATAGAACCAGATCCGATGGCTGATCCCACTATCAGAGAGTTAGTCGCAGCTCCTACAGAACAAGAGCCTTTGTGCATTGATTTTCCCCAAGGCGAAACTACATACCAATTAAAAACTGGTCTTATTAATCTTCTCCCTACTTTTCGCAGATTACCAAACGACAATCAACATAAACATCTCACAGAATTTCAAATGGTCTGCTCCAGCATGAGACCACAAGGAGTAGCTGAGGACCAAATCAAACTTAGAGATTTTTCTTTTTCCTTAGTCAATTCGGCTAAGGAATGGTTATTTTATTTACCCCCAAATTCTATTACCACATAGGCTCAAATGAATCGCCTTTTTCTTGACAGATTTTTCCTTGCGGCAAAAGCAAGTGAGTTACGAAAAAGAATACTTGGAATCAAACAACTTGATGGAGAGTCACTCTATAACTACTAGGAGAGATTTAAAAAATTATGTGCTAATTGCCCACATCATGGGTTAATTGAGCAAACACTCCTTCAATATTTTTTATGAAGGATTAACTCTCCTGGAAATGAAGATGATCGATGCTGCCAGCGGAGGAGTTTCGGTGAACATAACTCCTGCTGAGGCTAGGGAATTAATTTCCACAATGGCCGCAAATTCCTAACAGTTCCGCCCAACTAATGAACCTCCTCGAAGGGTTCATGAGATAACTTCATATTCTTTAGATAGTAAGATAGATAAATTAACTGAAGTAGTCAACTCTCTTGTTGTAACAAAGATTGGACCCAACAGATTATGTGGAATATGTGCATTACTTGATCATCCAGCAGACGAATATCCACTTATTCAAGATGACAAAACAGCTCAAGTCAATGCAGTAGGGAACTTTCCAGGACCTCCCCAGAGGGCTTATAATCCCTACAACATTATTTACAACCTAGGATTGAGGGATCATCCAAATTTTCAGTTTCGCTCAGAACTCAAAGCCAAATCAAGCTTATCAACCAAGGCCACCTCCACCACCCCAACAGCCGCATAAGTCATCACTAGAGTCAATTGTTGAAAGATTGCCACTTTCCTAGAAAAAGTTCCAAATTCGTAATGAAGCCCACTTACAAGAGATAGACAAGCAGATAAGCCAACTGGCTCATACTGTAGGACGTTTGGAATCACAAGGTAAGCTTCCTTCTCAAACTGATGTAAATCCAAGGCAAAATATCAGTGTCATCACTCCAATCCAAAAATGAAAGAAGACTGTTGACTCAGGATCCCAGAAGAATAGAGACAAAGTACAAACATATCCAACATCATCTCCCTATGACGTGCCACCACCTTTTCCATCGAGATTAGTAAAAATGAATAAACAAGCCGAGGAAAAGGAAATACTAGACGTATTTCAAAATGTGGAAATCAATATACCTCTTCTTGAGGTTATCCGAAAGGTTCCAAGATATGTCTGGTTTCTAAAGGATCTTTGTACAATAAAGAGGAAGATTTCTGGGGTCGAGAAGGTGAATTTGGGAGAACATGTCTCAACTGTCTTCCAACAAAAGTTACCGCCGAAACTGAAAGACCAAGGTATGTTCGCAATACCCTATAAAATTGGTAAAGTTGGGATAAAACGAGCCACGTGTGACCTTGGTGCTTCTATTAATGTAATGCCTCTCTCTATTTACAATATGATTACTAACGAGCCTTTGAAGGATACAAAAATATCAATTTAGCTTGTCGACAGATCTATGATCTATCCGGAAGGACTCTTGGAAAATATGCTGGTGGAGGTAAACGAATTAATATTTCCTGCTGACTTTTATATATTTGAAATGGAGAATGATCGCACAAGCACATCTTCTGATATCCTATTGGGACGTCATTTCCTAAGTACTGCACACACAAAGATTGACGTAAGAAGCGAGATTTTAACCATGAAATTTGATGGTGAGATTTTAACCATGAAATTTGATATAAGGCAATGATATATCCTAACAAAGTGGAGAGTATAAATTCTGTTGATATAATTGATCCTTTGACTGCTGAATTTTTAAAGACTAATTTTTCCTTTGATCTATGTAGGGAGTTAAAAGATTATGATGAGGATATCAAGAAGTTGAAAAAAATATATTCAGATTGTGCCGAATTAAAATTGATTTCTTCTAAGCCTAAGGTTCTGCCTTCTGTTTTGCATGCTCTTGAAGTTGAACTGAAACCGTTTCCGGATCATTTGAAGTACATTTTCCTCGGGATGAATAACACTTTGCAGTGATCATATCGAAAGGATTGTCCAATGAAGAAGAAAAAGATTTAATAATGGTTTAGCACGCACACAAGGAGGCTATAGGATGAACCATCACTAACATAAAAGGATTAAGTCCATCAACATGTATGCACAAAATTAAAATCGAAGAAGTCACAAAACCGACCCGTGAAGGCTAACGTCGGCTAAATCCACCAATGATGGAAATGGTAAAAAATGAGGTACAAAAACTTCTTGATGCAGATATTATATATCCAATTTCGGATAGTAAATGGGTAAGTCTGATACATGTAATTCCTAAAAAACAAGAGTTATTGTGGTCAAAAATTTTGAATGAGAATTAGTACTAACACGAGTTCAAAATGGATGGAGGGTCTGCATCGATTACAGGAAGTTGAATTCATTAACCCGAAAAGACCATTTTCCTTTTCCATTCTTAGATCATATGATAGAAAGATTAGCTGGTAAGACTCACTATTATTGTCTTGATGGCTTTCAGGTTTTTTTCAAATTCCAGTTGCTCCTGAAGATCAAGAAAAGACGACATTCACATGCCCCTTCGGCACATTTGATTACCGTCGGATGCCTTTCGGACTTTGCAATGCACCTGCCACATTCCAAAGATGTATGATTAGTATTTTTCTGATTATATTGAAAAAAGTATTGAAATCTTCATAGATAACTTCACTGTTTACGATAATTTATTTAATGAGTGTATATTAAACTTAACAAATGTATTGCGTCAGTGCCTAGATTTTAACTTTATTTTGAATAATGAAAAATGATATTTTATGATTGATAACGGTTTAATTCAAGGTCATATTGTTTCTTCAAAAAGGAATTGCACAACATAAAGTTGTTTTCGGAGATGTAAAATAATTTGTTTCTGACAGGGGCTACTCTTGGGAAAGGTGTGAATAGAGGATTGGCAACGTTGCTTGCTGGTGCCTTAGCTGTCGGGGCTCATCAACTTGCTAAAACGTCGGGACGGATATACGAGCCCGTAGTACTCGGGTTCTTCGTCTTCCTCCAAGGTATAACTTGTAAACTATGTGCATCCGAAGTTCTCATTGTTTTCACTCACAACTTATGTACATATGTGCAGCTGCGGGTTTGCGAGATTCTACCCAAAATCAAGGCTAAATATGACTATGGATTGTTCATATTCATCTGGACATTCTCTTTGATATCGATATCGGGTTTTCGAGATGATGAAATACTGGAACTGGTTCACAAGAGATTGTTAACCGTTCTCATAGGCGGCTCAACCTGTGTAAATATTATTTCCGTTTTGCTTTTCCCTGTTTGGGCGGGTCAAGACCTTCCCAACTTGATCGCTTCCAACATGGAAAAACTTGACATCATCCTAGAAGGTACTTATAAAAATGAATAAAAAAAGGCATGGCCGGTTTCAATTCCAACATCCATGGAAACAGTACCTGAAGATCGGAGCTCAAACACGCCAGTGCGCACATCGAATCGAATCACTCAACGGACACCTCCACGCCGACGTTCGAGTATTGTATCGAAACCGCCATGACTCAAATTCATGTACATAGCCAACATGTTTGTTTTAGATCGGCCTTATCATTTTTATCGTACCATTTGCAGGCAAAACCGGAAATTCGAAGTAAAATCCAATTGACATGCACGAAAATAAGCATGGAATCTGGTGAAGCGTTGAAGGAACTATCGACGCTGTTCAAACGATGGTGAAACCGACTGCTGCCTATATACATATTGAGAAATCGAAATCGAACGTCAAGAATCTCAACTCTTTGCTCAAATCAGGGTTATGTGATGATAAAAAGGACATCTTGGAAGTGTTGCCGTTGGCGACAGTAGCTTCGTTGTTAATCGATGTGGTGAGTTGTACATCCAAAATTGCCGATTCTGTTAATGAACTTGCTGCTAAGCTGAATTTCGAAGCCGTTGAGCCGACTGTCTCACCGGACACACAACTTGAAATTTGAGATCTTAGTCGAGAAATGGGAATTCTGCTCCAACGACAACGAAATAATTGTTGTGTCATGGGGGAGCAAATATTAGAATTATATAAATAGTGATAAGTTTTTTATAGATCTTGAAATATGAAATTTAACCATTAAACCGGTAGGTTCTTGTCCTATGTTCTTTGTCACACCCCATCACACTACCTCAAACACTACAACTCACTAATATCCGTATACTGCATTGCCCAAATCAAACGCCTAAACACTTCCTAGGCCTAGCTAGCCACCATTTAACCAGCACTCGAAACCTCCACAATCTCTTGAACCTCCTCACTGTCAAAACCTAGCTCAACCCTAAACTAAACAAACCAAACCTTGTTAAAGGAAAAATAATGCAACACCGTAAACCAAACCACTGTATCTGAAAGGGTCAAAAATATCACACTAAACCCACAGAAACGGTCACCAAATTCGAAACCTTCAAAACATCTATACCAAATATAACAAAAGAACTTGTACATAAACCGGAGCCTCGAATATAACACAATATAAATCAAAATGATAATAAAATTTATAAACTAAAATGCTAGTAAGGTCTTATAAATACACGTGACCACTAAAGTAAATCAGATATTGTATTCTGTACAGGAGACGCTAAATGTCCCTCAACGGCAATGCTCATTAAACACAAACATAAATATACAAACACGCAAATGAAAATAATTCCAAACATCAAGTGTCACAAAAGCAGTGGCACACAACCACTTTGATACTTTTTATGCACTTCATAAACATATGCGTGTAAATGAAACACAAATGATAGGGACATAACATAGACATCACAACTAACTCATCGAGGCTCAACAGGCTAATAATTATAATACAAAGATTGACATATAAGGTTTACTTTTTCATAGCAATTCACACAAATATAATATACGAAATGTAATATATCATTCTCAATTTATTTATCAGTAGTGTATCATATAATAGTCTTATAGTAAAAAATTAACATGACTTGGACCAAAACGTAAAGTTGTTCATTGAAGAATGGGCCCGAAAACTAGGGTGGTTCAGGGACAATGGATTCCAAAATGGGAGTCGGTCTCTCTATAAAGCAAAGAAAGGAATCCGAACATAACAGAAATTTGAAGCTATGAGCCTTCTTCCCGCCCTAACGCCAACTTCCCTTACCTCTCATCAAAATCCCAAAAACCAACCTTTATCTTCTGTCCCAAATCACCAAATCTCCCTTCAGCATCCCTTACAATCTGTAGTCTCATGGACCTCTTCAATTTCTCGTCATTGCCGCGCTGGCCGACTCTCTGTGGCTGTCCAAGAGTTTAAACGCATGAGACTTGCTGGTGTTGAGCCTAATCATATCACCTTTGTTACCCTTCTTTCGGGTTGTGCTGAATTTCCATTAAAAGGTCGGGATCTAGGTTCTTCGATTCATGGGTATGTTTGCAAATTGGGGTTAGATATAGACGACGTGATGGTAGGCACCGCGCTCGTGGAAATGTACGCTAAAGGAGAACGGGTGGAAGTGGCTAAGTTGGTTTTTGATCTGATGAAGGTGAAGAATTCGGTCTCATGGAATACGATGATTGGTGGTTATATAAAGAATCGGGAGTATGAGAAGGCAGTTGAGGTGTTCGATGAAATGCCTGAACGAGATGTTATTTCTTGGACCGCCCTGATTAATGGGTTTGCTAAGAGGGGTTTTTATGAAGAAGCTTTGGATTGGTTTCGTGAAATGATAATCTTTGGGATTGAACCTGATTATGTGAGCATCATAGCTGCTCTCACAGCTTGTGCTAATTTGGGTACTCTTACCGTTGGCTTATGGGTTCATCGGCTTTTTCTGAAGCAAAGCTTTAGAAACAATGTTAGAGTAAATAATTCATTGATTGATATGTATTCTCGATGCGGATGTATAGAGTTTGCTCGTGAAGTTTTCGACAAGATGAAGGAGCGAACACTGGTATCGTGGAATTCGATCATCGTGGGGTTTGCTGTTAATGGGTTTGCAGATGAAGCTTTGAAATTTTTCGATGCAATGCAGATAGAAGGGTTTAAACCAGATGGGGTCAGCTTTACTGGAGCACTTACAGCTTGTAGCCATGCAGGTTTAGTAGATGAAGGGCTCCATTATTTTGATATTATGAAAAGAGTTTATAGGATATCTCCTAGGATCGAACATTTTGGTTGCATAGTTGATCTTTATAGCCGTGCTGGGAAATTGAAAGAAGCATGGAACGTAGTACAAAATATGCCTATGAAGCCAAACGAAGTTGTATTGGGGTCACTGTTAGCTGCATGTAGGAATCATGGGGACATTAACTTAGCCGAAAGGATAGTGAAGAACCTTGTGGCATTGGACCCTGGTAGTGATTCCAATTATGTACTGCTCTCAAACATATATGCAGCAGTTGGAAGATGGGAGGGAGCAAGCAAGGTTAGGAGAAGAATGAAAGCACTTGGGATACTAAAGAAACCAGGGTTTAGTTCAATTGAGATCGATGGTTGTGTTCATGAATTCGTCGCCAGTGACAAGTCACATATGGAAAAAGATTGTATTTATGCAACGCTAGAGTTGCTCGCCTTTGATCTAGTGTCATCCGGGTATGCTCCTGGAATTGTTGCAGGACAATTGTATGAAAGTGATTAAACCCATCAATGAGTAACAAGAAACAAGCGCATTGATTCTTTGTACCAAATAACTTGGAATATGAGTCAAATTGCAACACCCGGCCAGTTTCTGTAACATCAAGGCACAGTTTTAATAGCAGCAATAGAAATCGCATCCAATACAATGAAGAAAACAATTCAAAGAAGCAAAATTGAAGCTCGTCCCACAAGTCTTCTCTCCACCCTATCGGCCACCTCCACTTTGCCATGAACCCTACAAGCTGCCAGCAAAGCATTCCACAAAGCCATATCGGTCTCCAACTCCATCCCATCACCAATTCCTCAGCTTCCTCCACCAATCCCGCCTTCCCCAACATATCCACCATACACGTATAATGCTCCAATTTAGGCTTCACCCCCAACCTTTCCTCCATCTTCTCGAAAACCTCCGTCCCCTTCTCCACCATCCCCTCACGACTACATGTGGTCAAAACTGTAGTCAACGTCACCTCATCAACCTTCATCCCATCTCCACCATTTTCTCAAACAAAATAAACACTTCCAACGCGATCATACCCAACCATCAATGCGGAATACGATACATAACTTCTAACAGGCATTTCTTCAAACACTTTCATCGCACACTCCAATTCACCACATTTTCCATTAATAATCAAAGAAATGTTATTTGCCAAATCGGACGAATACCCATTGACCAAAACAGCCCCGTGGAGCTGTCTTCCAAGGGTTAAATCAGATAACTGGCCACAAGACTTGAGAACGGGAGGCAAGGTTAAAATGTCAAAGGGCTTTTGAGCAATGATCATGCGGTGAAAAACGGTGAGGGATTGAGAGGATTGGTTAAGAGAAGAGTGAGCTCGGATGAGGGAGTTAAAGAGGTAAGTGGGTTGGCGAGAAGTGAAGAAGAAGAGGATATGAGCTTCGCGCATGTGGGAACATGAAGCATAGGCAGAGACGAGCTTGGTTCGGACGAAGGAGTGGCTTGAAATATTAAGCAGAATCGTTTTGGCGTGAATTTGTTTGAGTTTTTGGAGGGATCTGGTGGACGAGCATTCATCTAGAAGGGTTGCGAAAAATGGTATGGTTCTGGGACGAGCATACATTAGCAGATAATATCAGATAACAACTATAGAAAATTGGTAGCTTAGATTCTATTCAGAATGAGTACAGTAAAAAAAATAAGTAAATATTTTGTTAAAAGATTATGGAAAACCAAACATGAATTTTGATGATCAACTACATATATAAAGTGAAGTAATTGGATATTGACAATGTTCTGTCTCATTTGTGCTGATATCATAATATATAAGACGATGTTGACTGACATGAAAGGGAATAATAATAGCTGCAGCAGGATAATCCCAGCATCGGCACTGTCAAATCCTTAATTCTCCATCATACATGTATAGATTTGGTTGAGCAAATGCAGCAGATGCCGATACTTACATATAATATTGCAGCAATATATCTGCTGGCATGCACCCACTGTTACCCTCCTCTGATTCTCATCCAATTCACAATTGGTGCTATGACAACAAACAATCACATCCATCCATCCCCTCTCTATTATCGAGGTTATTTAATTTAATTAAGTTAATTTTAAAATAAAAATTTTGATTCGAGATAATATATTCAGATATACAAATATTCAATTTATGATCATCCCTACTCCTCTCTTTCTTTTGTTTTGATGTCATCATTTGTATTAGAAACATTTACAATCAAATTCAATATTGTTTGCTTTAGGCTATGGACCATATGATAAAATCACATTAATCATTCAACTTCAAACATTTGCATTTATATAAAGAACAAAAGGATAAGAGACCATCATGATCAAACAAAAACTACCCTCCTCCAAAAGATAAGATGGAATCTTACAAGATTTATATTACAGTAATTCACTAAGGGCAAAAAAAAAAACATGCACGTTAAAACATGGGAAACTAAGGGTCAGTCCGTGGCTTCTTAGGGCTACCACCATTATGGTGCAATGGATCTGGTCCTGATGGCACCATCCTAAAGCTTTCCCTATTCCAAGCACCGGTTGTCGATCCATCGTCTACCTTCAAATCAGCCTGCAGCAACATCTGCAAGCACAGATAGTTTTATAAGTTTCTTTCAACAATTAGGAAAAAAAACCCAAACAAAATAATGAACCTTTCTGTTTAGAGATGGCTTTTCATAGGAGCATTCATGGCCAGAAACGCAGCCTGTTAAACATGAAAAAGATTAGCACATTCGCATTCAAAACAGAACCCCAAATGAAGAATAAAGAGAGGTCGAACTCGAACCACAAACTCCATGCAAGACCAGGAAGCATACGAGCAGCAGCACAAATGCCCTAGTAGGCATAGCAGATCAGCAAGGAAAATCTCTTAATTAGCAAAACAAAACGAGAGCGAAGATAGAGAGGTGTGAAGAGCACAAGGGGACGGTAGCTCCCAATATATATAGCATTTGAAAATACTAAATGATTGCATGGTGCAGCCATTTTCACACATTTTCTTTGGGAAATGATTTCTGATAATATGGCGCCGTTTCAAATTAGAAAATGACAGTCGTTGGCAACGTCACTCCACAAGCGTACCAATGCAAATCGTATCTAATTATTGTTCTCAAAGATGATAGTTTCATTTTTTTTTATTTTCTTTCTCATGATCGTTGAACCTTGGGAAAAAAAACCTGGTTGTATATACCGTTATTGTTTCTGATCCCTTTTATTATATACTCCAAGTACTGCAGCTGTAGATTTTGTTCAGAGTCCTTAAGAGGAATAAAGATCCCATTTACACTGTACGAACTGAGTAATTTTCTGGTGGAGAGTAGATCTGATGATGGATGATTATGGTTAAATGGTGGTTTTGTATTTATTTTGGATGTGGGATTGATTGATGGTGATAGGGTGGCGCTCGCTGCTGTTATTCGAGAGGGAAATCTATCAAAGGGTTTTTATCCTTTACCGTGGGTCATATATACACCCATAAAGATGTGAATTTTCGACACTGATCTCAATTTAGTTTCGATCAAAGCACAACCTATAAGATTTTTGTTAAAAAGTATTGATGATGATATTTGTAAGATTATATTTCTGATTTGGAAACTCTTGTTGCTCCTACCTTCAAAGCTAAATATTTCCTGGAAAGCAGTTTCTTGGAAGCCTGCAAAGGCAATAACTCATCTTTTGTCGCCTACAATTGCTTGTTCGTGGGAGTAACCCCCTTTTTTTGTGGATTCTATTCCTTTCCAGGTTTGGAAGATATGAAGGTGCAGGAATTATTTGCAGCTGATGGCAAGTTGTGGGATAAGTGTGTTAGCTCATGTTGTGGCCTTGATGAGGACTTAAATCATGTTCTAATCAGATGCTCGATAGCCCAAGAAGTTTATGTTGCCTATTCATTATTGAGTATGGTTGGAAGCAAATAATATTTTTATGGTAACACTTCCTAGTGTTAGATTCTTGTTGATGAACAATTGGGTTAAGTCGATGCAATTCATTCTTTTAATTTAGATCGAGAATTACAATTGATAGTTGTACGACAACAATATTAAGATATATCTATTAATATAGTTTAATTTTAAAGGGAGTGGACGAGTTATATGTTATATTTGTTGAGTTTAAGATATTTTTTGGTGAAACATATATTGGAATCGCTTTAAAGAGGCTAAAAAGAAGTGAACCATAAATTTGAGGTATAACAATTGACGACGATGATGATTGACATCGACTAAAGATGATCGACAAAGAGTGGTGGCCAACGATTTTGATCAAATTTAGAGGTAAAATTGATATTTTATCTAAAATTTAGGGAAGAAAATAATATTACATTTAAAGCTTATGATCAACTCACCATGCTGTCTAAAGTTAATGACTTAAAAATAAAAATTAGTCCATTTTGACTAATATGAAACATCATCAAATTAATATGAGGTTCATTTGTTTCACTGAAAACATTTTTCGAAAAATGTTTTTTTGTAAAATGAATTACATTTTCCAGAATTTTATTTCGTAAAATGAATTACATTTTCTAAAAAAATATTTTACGGTGTTTGGAAGATGTTGTGTAAACCATTTTTCACTAGTTGATTATTTTTTTAGAAATTATTTATTACAAATATTAAATATAATAAATAATTTTATTTATCATAAAAACTTAATATTATCATTTTTGAACTATTATTAGATTATTATAATAATATTAAATACATAAATAATATTATTAAGTATTAATAATTTATTATATATTATTAAAATATAATATAATATTTTATATTATTAAAATATAATTGGTTATATTATTATAATATAAAAATATAATATTATATTGTTGAAAATATTAATAAATATATTTGAAATATATTTAATAATTAATACTTTAATTAAAATGATATTAAAATATTTTATTTATATTAAATACATAAAATAAAATTATTTGAGTATTTATTCTTTGAAGTGAAAAGTTCGGAAAATGACTTACGGAAAATCAGACCGTAAGTCATTTTCCAGAAAATGCAAAGGAAGTTCTGTTGATCAGAAAAATGTTTTACATTGACCAACCAGTTTTCCTCCAACCAAACATTGGAAAATGAGGAAAATGTTTTTCAGAAAACAAACAGACCCTGAGTTAACGATTCAGTGACCAAAATGTAACAATCGATAACATAAGTGACAAAAATTTAATAAATCAATGGTATAAGTAATCAAAACGCATTTTTTTTAATTTATTGAATAAAAATGTACAAATATAAAAGAAAAGTGATCAATTTAATAATTTACCTAATTAAAAATTGATCTTTTTGCTAACATATCATATCATCAAACTAATGATATTTAACATTTTAGTGATCGGAACGTTATAAAACAATAACGAAAATGATCAACATATCATAAACCGATAATATAAGTGACTCAAATATTACTTTTAAAATTTCATAGTCAAAAGTGAATCTTTATAAAAAAAAGTGACCATTTCAATAGTTTGTCCGAAATAGTCCTAGAGTGAAATAAAAGAAGGAAGGCTTAATAGAATTCAACAGCAGTGTTAAAAAAGGCGGTTACTGCCATTTCAATACTTTGAAAAATGCGGATATTTTTAAAACGGGGTAAATTATGCCAGTAGTCTCGTTTATTTACAATCTGATTGATTTTAGTCATTATTTTTTTTAATTAAGTGTGTTTGATCATTTACGTTATCGTTCCGTTTGATTTAAGTCTCTCGACTGTTAATTTCCGTTAACTCATTAACGGAAGCCTGAGATGACAATTAAATAATAAAAATAAAAATAAAAAATCCATGTGTAAACCCACTGTCTTCTTGTTCTTCTTCTTCATCATCATAATCACTCTCGGGTCTTCTTCTTCACCACTACCACCATAATCCAAAAAGAGTTTACTTTTCATTCACTCTTGTTCTTCTTCTTTTCACCACCACCAGAATCCTAAAAAAAAGGAATTTACTTTTCATTCGCTACTATAATAAAAATAAGTAAAAGCAAAATGAAACCAAATATATAATAAGTTAGAAAGGTTCTTTCATGTTTCGTGTTTTCAAACAATTTTGCTAGTCATATTGTCTCTCTTTTTCACTTGTTGTTTTCTCGCTTGAATCATTCACTGTTTTTCATTTCTTGTTTTCTTGAGATTTCACATTTGGAAATATGTAATGAAAGAACCAATCATGGCGATGATCATAAGATCTTTGAAAATGTCTCTACAAAATGGCAATGTCTGATTTCTTGCGACGAATGGATGAAAGCAAGGCTACCGTCGTCGGAGATTCACTTGGTGGATATAGTTATTTCACGAGGACCAAGACGCTTCTTAATGATATCTCTGGGAAGGCTCGGGATGGGGAGATAATGGTCGTGCTCGGAGCTAGAGATTTTTATAAGTTGATGGTAATGCATAAAAACACTATCCCACGTTGAA